CTTTTATCACATTTTTATGTAATATAAACTTAATCCACAGAGAATGAGTGAGTGAGAGAGAGAGAGATAGAGAGAGAGAGAGAATTGAAATGCTGAAATTTATTGTCTTCCTGAACATGTTCCTGAACACATACATCTGCGTGGTCACCCTAATATCTAAAAACTACTCCAGTGAGAAGTGGGTTTGGGTATATTGAGGGAACAGTCACCTCTGACATTCACAAGCCTAATTATTTTCACATTAGCACACAGATAACAGCATTCCAAGCCCCCCAAGAGCTGCACTCTCTGAAAATGACAATAATGTGATTTTCATGATGCCTGTGGTACACATGGACTGTAACATAATCCACGATTCTCCCTGCACTGTGGGCATGGAGCCCAGGACCCATCCATTAGCTATGACTGACCAATCAACAATTATTTACAGCAACATTCAACCAATAAGAATTAAATTAATTATATGCTTTTATCAAAGTGGTCTTAATTGCATTGTTTATCTGAGTTTCTCAAAAACTAAGGAGCAGATATTTAATGCTCTGTTCATAAGAAGATTGTGCACCTGTAGTTTCCTTATAGAATGTACGCGGATGAAGGATTGGAGGAATATTTAACATTGCATCTCAACATCATTCATTAAACAGCTAAAGAATGGGATCCAGTGTAGATATTGTACATTAATACCACAGTGTGTATTGTTCCAGTGTAAAAGGAGAATATGATACTAGACTGGGGCTGAAAACTATGGCTGCAACAGCTACTGCAGGCGTCTGGTTATGGGGAATAAGTGACATATTGTGACATATCTTTAACTATATGTGTCAATCTATGTTTAATTGTGTGTCAATCTATTGTCAAAAAAATACATCATTCAATTTATTGTCGCGAAACTTATTTCAATGTATATTTACTGAAGAGAGACTGAAAACAGAGATGCACCGATCCCATATTCAGATCAGTATCGGCACCTATACAGACCTATTAGACGGATTGGGTATCGGCCCAATCCAACTCGCTCTTATTCTGCTAGATCTGCCCAAAGGTTCAACCAATTATATTGTGAAAATGAGGCATTGTGGTCATCTAATTCTTAATACCATGCATGGTAATAAACAATGTATGCATGCATTTCCAAGCCCCTGTCTTTATAACAAAGCATTCAAACAACAAAGTATCTTTGAGTGAAGTGTCAGAGATGTTAATTACATAATATGTCTTCCATTCCAAATTTATTCTCCTCTACTTTTTTAATGGACAAAAACTACAGCTTGTGGTCATTTGATTACCATTTACATATTTACATACCAGGTAGTGTTTTTAAAATGGATTTTAATTGACTTTTATTTTAATGAGTAGGCTGCACAGCTTTCCATTACTGTTTTGCTGTACACCACACTGCAACAATGGTAGGCAGGGTTCTGATAATCTGCTAACTGCTATTTAGAGAAGCTAACTTTTTTTTCGTTAGTATTTCTGCTAACTTTGTAATCTGTTAACAGACCAATTAGCTTAAGCTAAATTTCTTTCTACTAACTTTTAATGGTGGAAAAGTGAGGAAAGTTTAAAACATTTGTAAACCCTAAAATCATACATACTTGTTCCAGTCTGCTGTAAGCATGTCTATCTGGCACGCTGCTGGTTGACTATTTGTAAACAAAAGACATGATTGGTTGGATTTAATGTAGTCTGGGTTAAATGTAAGTGAACAAAGATAACGTACATTTAAACTGGGATACCCTGAACTAAACGGAGAACAGAGGCCTGTGTCACAAAGCTGGATTTCTTGCTTAGCCAGATAACTTGTCAGATTTAAGGTACGATAGTTGACAAGTTGTATTTTCCAGGTTCTGATTGACAGAGCTATAGAACGAAAAAGAGCTGAGACCTGCCTTCCTAGTTGCGGTTAAATGGCACCATGTTTGTCCCCAAGTCCCCAAGCAGCTTCACTGTAGGGAAAATGTCAGCATGGGCCAATTGTGAAATAGAACTTCTCAGAGAAAAACACTTATATCTCGCAAAAACGGAGTATCATGGAAAGAAAAGTTCTATGCAAATTAATTTATTTAATCCAATTGGGTAAGTCCTAAATATCCCCTGGTAATCACTCTAGTCTTACAGATGGGACTTCAGTGTGAAACAGGTTAAAAATGAAGCTCTCTAGGTTTGTTTTTAAGAGTTTCAGAGCTAGAAGCCAAACTGAAGCTAAATTCATATGATAAAAGTTAGAAGTCAGCAGTTATCGTTAGCTTCCAAATTTTTAAATTAGTTTATCGGTTTAGCCTTATCGAGTTAAACTTTGGAGTTAGCAGTTATTGAAGCTAACTTTTTGGTTAAATGTGCCCACTACTGTACTGCAATACAAACAACAACAAAAGATATAACATCATCATAGTGGGAAATATAGTTATCTTTCCTAGTTTTCACTGTCATCGTGTCCCCTAAATACCGGCTCCAAAGAAAGAAATTGCATCAATCAGCCTTTTCAGAATCTCATGGTTTTCCTCACAGTGTCGTTGTGTTTTCTTGAATGGAGAGGCATGCCTTCATCAATTAAAGTTCTCACTACTTCAATCTTAACAAATAAGGGATGTCACTCCTCATCTCCTTAGGTCCTTTCAGGGATTATATTGAACAACCAGGATATACCAGACAAATCGCTTCCTATATTGGTTCAAAACCGAACACAGAATTTTATTTTTCAATACATGGTGGTCGTGCCATATACAGGATGGGTGCAAACTCTCATCTTCTCATTTCCCAAAAGAATTGCACGACTACACTTATATGTTCCTTTTGCACAAAAGGAACTGAACAGAAACTTGAATATTCTTATTTACAGTATATGTATGGGATTATAATCAGCAAAAACAGTATTTATCAATAACAGTATTTTAAGCTCTTAGGTATTAGACTTATGGTGCTTTTCCACTGGCATACTGGAACCAAGTCAAACCGCAAAGGGAGACTAGTTACAGCGTTGGTTTCACCTGGCTTCAGTATTGCACTGCAGAAGGATTGGCTCGGTAAAGGTGTTGCTGGGTTTGGAAAGCGACAGCCTGCAGTTCACATCCTAGAGATGGTGGCAGTAGGAATTATCAAACTTTCTGACTATGGACTATATGTCTCACACCAGCTACCTCAGGTCGATGATACACTGGATCATATCACCGTGATTGACATGGTTCAGCTCCTCAGGCCTCTGAAGTAGCTCCTGGCAGGTCATGCCTTTCGGGGTCTGTAAAGCCTCAGCCCGGCTGAAGAAGCGAGTTCTGGCTCAAATCCCACACAGCCAGTGTGTCTGTTCACCCACACTGCTGATTTTGATGAAATACTCAACAACCTGTGCATGGTCTTCACTGCCATCTGCGAAATTCACTTGCGCCTTAAACACCGGAAATGCTCCCTCCTGCGCCAAAAGATGGAGCTCCTGGGTCATGTAGTAAGTGGTGAGGACATGGCGGTGGACCCAGGAAAGACTGCCATGGTAAAGGGCTGGCTGACCCTGCAAAGTATTGTGGAGCTCTATAGTTTCCTAGGTCTCACCTTGTACTACTAGGGGTATGAGACTTCATCAGCACTCAAAGATCTGCACTCAAAGAGGCCCCAGTGCAGGTGCTTCCAGCTGCATAACAAACAGCCATTTCTCACCTGGTTGCTATGCTTACACAATCCCACTTCTGTTAGCCTTGCTGCAGCAAGGACACCAAGCTGTTTGTCTATTCCTGTGGAAATGCACCACTCAGAGGGACCAAGCTGCCAGCTCAGAGGGCCACTGCAGACATATCAGTTGCTAATGGAGAGGGTTGGGGTGGACGTGCCGGCACCCATTCCCCGTAGTGACCCCAAGAACCACAACGTGTTCATAGTTATGGATTACGTGGTTCCTATCCACAGCGCAGTGACCACAGCTCGTGGAGGAGTTTTTCCTGATGTTTCAGTGTGCAGGAGGAGCTGCACAATGACTAGAGGTGAAACTGCATGGGTGAGGTGCAGGTATCTGGCGAGGTCTGCAGTTGTGCAATTGGTTGGGTATTGTGAAGAACTGCACCACTCCCCTTCATCTGCACCTATGGTGCCTCAGGTGGCATCTAAGAGGCATACACAAGCCAACTCTGCAGCAAGATGCTTACTACACACACTGCCGCGGGCAGGACTTTGGCAACAGGGACCCAGTTTAAGTGTACTGCCTTATTCGCAAAAAGGGGAGGTCGCCCAAGATGGACAATCACTGGAAACTGGAGGGGGAGGTCCTCCAGTGCCTCTCCGTTGTCGTTTATTACTTGTGGCTGCCTGAGCGACCTAAGGCTGAGGTGCTGCATAGGAACTGTCTGGCACTGTACTGCCCCTGGCCGGACCCCCCTGCAACGGGGAATGCAGTGTGCCGGCCATAGTGAGAACACCAGTCTCTGTAGCATTTGTGGGACTTTGTGGTCACTGGGGACGACTGACCCCTTAGGTGGGTCCAGTGTGACGCCATGGGCTGGGCAGTAGAGACATAATCATTTACATACTAGCATGCCTTGTGCAGCATTTAAGTTGTAATATCATCAATAAATTAATGTATGTATTTGAGTATGTTGCAAATTGTAAGTGCTGTAACATTGTGCTGTAATGTAGTGTTTTTGGTTTGGTGTGGTTGTGTAGTGGTTAAGCTGAGTGACCGTGATGTGTCAGTTGTTAGCTGTCTGTAGCAGTGTTAATAAAGGCAAACACCTTGTTTTTATAGAGAGGGTGTCTGTTTTCCTTAAAGCATGACCCACAATGCAGACCTGGTTATGACAGTTTTGATGCAATAAGCTATGAAATGAATGCGGATATTTTCTGTAAGCTGACCAGTGCCACGGAGCATTTGATTTCTCTTTAGATGTATCAATACAGTATGAAAGTTTTCCAACCACTATTAATTCAATACACCGTATCTCGGTACCCGCAAGGTATTTAAACCATTTAAACGTTTGCTTCAAATATGTTGTCCCAACGTCTTTTAAAACTCAAAGGTACAATTATAGTAACAGATTCAGGTACCTGAATATGTAGCATGCGTATCAAATTTCACTTTATATCAAAACACAATATATAATTTCAGTAACCTTGTATTGAATCTTATTCTTACGTCTAGTTAATATTTATTTCAACATGCGACTATTAATGAAATTATATTGTTTCAGTGGGCTAATGCTATTCACCGTCTCCACCTAAGCGATCGGGCCAGGCTACGCCCTTCAATTTACATATGACAGAAAAGATGTCAACAAACAAACAATGTTTCTCAATGGATTCGTTCCACCACTTAGGGTATTATTGTGTTTTCTTAATTAATCTCGTTTGCAATGAAGGGGCTGAATAAAAGCCGTAGGCTGCTGATCTCAGTGATATCAACAAGCATTTAGCATCGCAGCGCACGCTTACAACCTGAGCGCTTGATCCCTTTCCAGCTGTAATCTTTCCGCACCCGGCGACAGTGAATAAATGCTCCAGAGAAAGCCGCTTACTTGAAATGGGGAGGAGATACAATGTGCAAGCCACTGAAGGGAGATCCAGGTGATGCCGGTGTGCGTTTGTCTCTATCCGCCATTTGCACCCTTATTCATCCATGCATGCGTTACCTCTGAGACAGCAGTAAGCTAATACTGCGATGTTGCGATATGGGCTGGGAGCCTGTGTGTGACTGGGGCGGGGTGCGGGCGGCTGGATGGATGTACTGTATCACGAAACGACCAGCAAGCGGGGGCGCGTCCCTGATTACCCCTAGTAATAGAAAAGCAGTTGTGCGTTTGACTTCATTCATTTCACTTCAGCACCGATATTGTTTTCATATTTAAAGATATACTTGTATAGATCATAAAAACGTTCGTATGAAATTCATGAGCTTAGTCTGCAGTGAACCTCGGTGTTCTGCAAATTAACTACGCTTATTTAACGTGTAATTGACATCATTACACGTTTGTACATATTTGGACGTACGCATAAAATAAATGTTGAATATTTCTAAATATTGATAACTTCGATAATTAAATGCTTATTTCCAGGGTTGGAATGTACCTACATGTACATACCGCACAGCAACATCATCATTAATTCATATCCCACTGACGTGTGGTATGGAACCATCTCCAACCTGCACAAGTCATCCAGCAAAGGGCTCCGTTGCAGGCAACACACCTTACAGGATGTAATGTTTTGGTGTCTTCAGCATGACACCATTTACTGTGTTCTAAGGTTATGAGCCTTGTCAGAGTGGCATGTATAATAGAGCATAACTACTTCACTTTGCAGCTGGAGCTGGCAGCATCATTTTCATATCCATATTTGACATCTTCACTACCGGACTAACATGGTGGTCTCACACCTCTAGGGTAGTAGGGTTGAACCTAGTCCCCAGCTGTGTGTGTGGAGTTTGCATGCTGTTTCTGTGTGTGTCTCATACTATCTCAAAACATGGTTAGATGATCCAGTGTCTCTAAATTGACTGTAAATATAGTGCATGCTGTGGTGGACTAGAATCATGTCCAGGGTATTCCCCAGCCTGGTGCATTATGGGATAGGCTCCAGCTTAAAACTGGAACTCTTTATTTCATAAGTTTTTATGGACACACACAGCTGGGGACTAGGTTGAACCCCACAACCCTGGAGATGTGGTGCTGTAGACTCACCGTTAGCAGCAGTATCATGGCTGTTATTTCAAACATCTCAAAGCCATACAGTGAAGGAGACACACTGATGTAGATCATGCGGCTTCAAGATATGTGTAAATGTAGCATCTTTTACATCTACAAAACCCTGACAGGAGGTTTGTGAAAGTTCTGGTTTAAAGATTACATTACATTTTAAGTATGGTTAAAATGTGATTACCAGCACAGAGCTCATTATCATTATCATTGCAGTGTATGGTGACCTGAGAGCTTGACCCATTTTCAGGTGTAATCTTTTTTGTGCTTTTTTTTTGCTTAATTACACAGAATTGATTTCCAAACAATCTATTGAGCCTCCCGGTGGTATTGCTTGAAAATTGCAGCTACTGGAACCTGACAAATATTGTTTTACTAGCTCACCTGACATTTAACATAGATAAGAACATACTGTAGATAAGAGAGGCACATTATAGTTACAGAAGCTCAATTTAAGAAAAAGAAAATTATACTTTACAAATAATGTAAAACAGATTTACAATACATTTCACAAGAGCATAAAAGCCCTCATGGATTAAAAATCATATTTTTAGAAATATAATTTTGTGGATATAGCATTCTTAAAGATTTCATGAAGCATGGGCCTTACTTGTTAGGGATGTCTGTTCATAATTGCTGCTCGTGGTGTTTCTAGGCCTGTGTTGAGTTTTGTAGGAACAAAGAGGCTTCATATTATAGTTAGCAGCACCTCAATTAAGTTAATATGTTTTGTATTTTGTGAAAATGCAATGCAGCACTTAAGTGGAAGAAGCATGTCTGCCTCTCGTGGGTGACTCACATTCTGCATCCCAAAACGCACATGATCATTGATGAAGAGCATGGTGCAACCCCCACAACCCCAGAAATGTTCTGAAACATCTAGGCAAATATGCTTGTTAAAATAATGTAAATTTAACCCAGTTGTGCCGGATCCAGAAGAACAGGGTTCAATTAATACTGGTGTACATGCCCATGCAGAAATTCATGTACAGTTTACTAAACATACAGTAATTTTAAACTTTGCTTGGAAGTTAAATGCATCTCCAGTATTATTTCCAGACAAATCTGTGTTATTTTTGTCAATGTTTCACCAGTCCTCACTTCCAGATCAGAAAAGATGTGCAAATAAGGCCCTGTATCTCAGTTTGCCTGGAAATGAGATCTTTGATGATCCAGCAGATAATGCTTTGTCTGACAGACTTACCCTGGCATCTGAGGAAGGTGGTGCCTTTTGATTACGGTGATTAAAAAGGTTAGAGGGAGATTATTTTGTCTGAATACCACTGACACAAACTATAAATACTTTATGTGTATATTACTGGATTTTTGTGCATTTTTTTTGGTTGAGTGAAACATAATAATTTCTCACATACATTCTCTAGTGCCAGCTAGACATTTGTGATGTTAAACTGGGCTATAAACAGAAGTGACTATAACTTTTGATCAATTCAGAAATCAAATAAATGTTATTTTTTATAACACTACAAGAGTAAAATGAAATCAGACTTAAATCAGGATTAAAAGTCTTTCCTTGGAATGAGCATCTTGTGGCATTTTCTAATGACTTAGCAGCTACACATAGTCTAAACATAATTAAAAACATTTTCCAAATGTAGCTATTCCCCTCCTCAAAAAACCTAATGTAGTGGTCCTCTCTTGTTTTTAGGATCACAGATGTAATATACAGCTCCTCATTGACTACAACAATATGACACTTACAAAGCTGAAAAATGACTTCTTGTTTACTTTTCACATGATTAAATAATACTAAATTACATTTATGTAAGTCTATGCATCTAACACAATTTAGACTTTAGATCATTAAAAAAATGCAGATCAATGTGTGTTTTCTCATACTTCTTTGTATGCCATAAGTACAGATTATACAGAGAAATATTTTTATGCCTAAACTAAACTATTATGTGATGGCAGCACAGTCAATACAAACAGCAGAGACTGAATTTTGATTTAGGAAACTGGAGTGTTCTGGATTTATTGCTTAATGGAATGCCATGCTATGTTAAAGACAATCCAAACCACATGGATAACAGAGAAAGCGGGAAAAACCCACAAATAAGTACCGCCGCACTACTCAAACATTTTGTAAATGCAAGAGACATTCAGAAATGGCAGGCATGAGCATCTTCTGTAACCTTGTAGTCAGATTCTCGACCACCACGTTACTTTTATGCTGATCTTTGTGCTGTTGATTTGCATTCGTTTTTAGGACTGCTGCTGTCAAGAAGCATTTTCACACCTCAGGGAGCACAGGAGGGCAGCACAGGGCAGGAGAACATCAGGCAGACCCTGCGTGCCTCACGTCAGAAGGCTGCACTCCAGGTCCGGCCAGCGCCATCTGGGACACATAGCACATACGTCACACCACAGACTGCCACTAGCCGCAGGGAAGCTGAACTTGTAAGTTGTAAAATATTCCTGAGAAGAAAGATCAGAAATAGTAAAAATATGTTCAATTACTCATAGTTATTCAGAGTATTTAGGGACTCAGCCAGACACAGGGAGTCCTTATCTGCAGTGTTGGAAGCACCAATGCAGCTTAAGAGCCTGTGTAGTTCATATGAAGCATAAGCCAGTTCCAGTGGTACATACTGCTACTGCTGATCATCTGCACTCCCTTCTGCCGAGCTGATGCGCTGCACCTTGGGCTGTGTGCATGCAGCTGCTCTCTGCATCTCTGCTGGCCTCTCCCTCTTCCTCAGCAAAGCCTTTCTGCTAGGCTGAGCAGGACACACGTCTGTGACGGAAAACCCATTAGAACCAGCCCTGTTAAACCCAATCAACCAAATGTGTTTGCCATCAGCATTTTCAATGATGACCGCAAATAATTCAATATTTATCCATTTGGACAGCATCTTGTCCCCGTTCTGATGGAGTACATAATAGAAACTAATATTGTACTCTAAGGTGCACTATAATCATCATCATTATTAAAATTTATTTTAAAATACTGTTCTGAATTTAACTGAATACATCATTAATAATGAAGAACTTCTAGTTAATTTACATGCCCTCCATTCAAAATCATTTACTTTTCCTGTATTTAATTAGAATAGGGATAAGAGGTACTAGCTAAAGGCTAATCGACTTCTTTATTCTCCATCCAGGAGCGTCATCCCAGCACATAATCCAGACAGGACAGACCAGTTATACCATTGCTGCTGTGGGCACCCGAGTCCTCCATCGCTGGTGGTTCTACCTCCTCTTGAATAGTAGGAACAGTGGCCAGCAAGCCTGGAAGAACGAAGGGATGGACTTCAGCAACAAGAAACGTATTCATAGGGCAACAAAGTCAAAGGCTCCTGCCCCTACATTAATCAAAAAGTGTTTCGATAAAACTTAATTTATGGATATAAAGCACATTATTAGCATGATAAGGGAATGCCGCAATATAAAAAAGACTGTCATCTTGAAAACACAGATAAGTTATATTTTAATAGAATCCCTGCCCTTGTACCCATAGCCTCTAGGATAGGTTCTGGACTCCTGCGACCCTGCATAAGACAAGCGGGTACTGAAAATGGATGGATGAAAAACAAACTTAAAACATCATGTTATCACTTACAGCCTACAATTCCATCCAGTCCTGACTGAATGATGTTCAACACTAACGAGGTTCATACATCACCGCTGAATCTGACATGGTCTGCCTGGGTGAACTAAGCTTTCATAACTGTGGGCCACAGCTCCTTGAATATAATCACATTTTCAATGGATGAACATGTCCATTACTTCACTACATGTTATGTAAGTTTTTGCCATGGAAAGGCTGGGTAATAAGCAAGCTTCAAGTTGAATCAGCTTCCAAGCACAATATGAATCTAACAAGCTACTCTCCCAAAATGACAAATTCTACTGTTCACAGAAGGATGAAATTTAGGGGGGGGGGAGGTCACATTCATTTTTTTCCCCCAAACTGGGGCACACTGTTCCTGATTAGCTACTGAAGCACTTCAATTTGACTGCAGCCATAATGGAACCAAGCTGTTCTGCTAATCAAACACCTACCTCTTTAGCTTTCCATCTTAATAAAGACCTGTTTCTACATAATGGCATTATGCAAGTCAATCACGTCATATTAGAATCAACCTTATATAAAGGTTGAACGCATGGGACGGTGCCAGAAAATATTATGTGCTGCACGCACGCTGTGAAATGCTATGTAAGCTCACAGATGTGCATGGTCACAAGTGGGCAGGTGGTGTCACTACAGGATCTGAGTCGACTGTGGATGTGAGTAGCGGCATGCATGAGTGGTGCAAACCAAATACAAAAACAACTAAAAACCAACTAAAAAATCAACTAAACTAAAAGCAATCAAAACACAAAAAAAGTATGTGCCCGGTTCCTGCAAGAGGCTTTGCCAGTATCAATATAGAGGATTAAAGATAATCAACCATTTTATGAAAATTCACGCAAGTACATGAGATGGGCCTTAACTTTCTAGAATTGGTAAGGGTGCAGCTTTGGCAGATGGTCTAAAGTCCTTTATAGATTAATACTCGAAAACTACCATGGTTGACTCAGATTGTGCAGTGCATGCAAGACTCGCATACAGAGTTGATTCAGATCCTGCAGTGACAGGTGGTACAGATCGGGTAGTTACACCTTGGATGTGTGCTATGTTCACAAACAAATAAACTGACTTCCTAATAGACTGCTGTGCTGATTCACCAAATGATATCATGTGTCTCTACCACAGGGTCTCTTTCCTGCATGACGCATTTGAAAAACAATTCAACGTGAGCTATTGGCATGGCTGATGAAGAGGTTTTGTATGGATAAGCTAGTGACACGTTATTACTGGAGGTCAAAGTTTTATGTGAAGATTGGATATATTAGTAGGAGGACATAGAAGATCATAATCTCTATGATTTGCATAAAAAGTAGATCATGGATGTCTTCAATGTCAATCACAATATAAAATTATCAGATCACCCACCCCTTCCCTGGTCTATAGTTAATTACCCTCAAAGTTACTAACCAAACATGATGTAAAATGACTTGTTACAGGGATACTCAAAAGGATGACCACAAAACTATTCAACTAGAATGGTCGGTTGTTGGAATGACAGCATTGTATTCCCTGGACAACTGCATCATGCTGTCCATCTAATCCATACTTATCCCACACTTGCCAACCTGTACAATTTATGGAACATACTGGGTGCATCAACTGGAAATGTGTAAATCAGAATCAAGTATCAAAACTCATTACTCAATTTTGGGGAGACTTCAAAATTTCACCAGCTTTACTGTAGTTCCTCTCCGATACAATGACTGTGAAAAGTCCATATAATGCTTTTTGAGTTATCATCCTAACAAGCAAAGTATCTGCAGCAGCTGAGGACCGGTACCAAAACCATATGTATCCAGCAGACATTTTGTGCTAGAAAATCCGGCTTCTCAAATAATTGAGTGGAATACTAATCATCACACAAAAGAATGATTTGATGGCCTTAATTTTTATTAGATCTGAGTAGGAGTGAATGGGCACTAGATTCCCACACCCATTTAACAATGAAGTCAAATTTATTTATTAACTGCTAGAGGACCTTGGTGCAACATCTCATCTGAAGAACACAGCCTTCAGCTGTTATATGCTGGACCTTCATTTGGTCTAGAGGGAACAGTATTCCCTACTCACTGGACACAACTTCCAGCAGCAACTTTGATGTTCCTAGATGTGTCCTACTAAAAAAGTAGCCAAATCCTACAGGTATTTTAACGTAAATGTCAGAGGGTAATATGGCTTCTGTTACCACTTACTGAGTCCCTTGTAGCGTGAGAGCTGCTGGTAGACCTGCTTCATCCGTTCTATGTTGAGGCGGCTGCTCTCAGCATGGTTTATCATAGGCTTGGGGTAGTCCTTGCCCACCACGCAGTCAGCTGCTTTCTGCACTGTCTCTGGGGCATTCCAGGGCTCATAGATGTACCTATTCGGATAGTTCTTCAGCTTTGGTATATACCTCCTGCAAAGAAGCACAAAAATACAATTCAGCCGCAAAGCAAAAATGCAAACACGCAGATTTGCAACTGTTCAACAACACTTTAACGCACTAAAAGCTTGCAGCTCCACATAGAAATGAGCATGAGAACCCTGCCACTATCGTCTGCGCAATGATACGATTGGTTTGTGGAGTTCGGTAGAAGAGTATACAATAGTTCCTACATTATACTGCTCACTACAAAGTCTGTTGATTATCTTATCTTGTGATGATGTTCGGTAAGAGACATTGCTGTTGAATTTTTCTAATGTATTTGTTTAGCACTTTAATATTTTAATCTTTTTCCATGGCATCACTTTTAAGTTTGTGGTGATCTGTCTCACATTTTAATCAGTTCCAGGTTGGCACACATTCAGTGCCTCTGCAAAGTTTAAATAAGGTCGTAAGACCATTATTGAATCCAGTCCATCAGACATTTTGTGGTAGAAAATTCAGCTTCCCACGTAATCGCTGCAAAAAAACCCCCAAAAAAAACAAAAAACACAACCCTTTACTGATCCCTTTTGAGGAAATCCTCTTTTCGGCTACCCCATCTTGTGCTCCATGACACAGACACATGTATAGGTGAAAGCGAGCTTGGCAGCAAAGGGCAGTTACCTGCAGTGGTGCCCATGGAGCAGGGGGCTATGGGCCTTGCTCAAGGACCCACAGACATGACTATTCTGACGAGGCTGGGCTCAAACTGGCGACCTTCCAATCACAAGCACAGAGGCTTAGGAATGTCTATGAATGTTACTATTAGGAGTAACTCATGAAATGTTTTGTTTTTATGTTGCGACACCCGGGTGTATTTACAGTAAACTTCAGTACATGACTGGTCACACTACACACATACTTGATCATATGTATGAATTACATGGCGTTGAAGTTAAGACTTTAATCTGCAAAGAGTACCACCACACCACCAATGTGTTTCTGCCTAGTCAAACCACATCTCCTCTTTAAACGCTTCCATGACTTACCAAAACAATAGCATGTGGCATGCTCCACTAATCAAATTTAATAAGGAGAAGGATGTGTCAAATTTAAACAGATTACTAACTTTTGGGCATCACAATACGCATCTCATTAATATTTTGGGCATACTACCAATCTGCTAATTGAATTATGGGCAAAATAATGTCCATATACAGTAGTGCTGAAAAGCCAGCATCCGTTATCTAAAGCCCTGCAATGACATACAGTTTGTTGTTGTCAAAATAAAATGAACTTAAGTTAAAGTGTCAATTTGAGTTTCTGGAAGAAAATTAATCAGTTAGATTAATCGACCAATCAGTAAAACAGTGGATAAATTAATCCATAGAAAAAGTCATCAGCAGCAGTCCAGCTTGCAATACTGTAATCTGCAGTTATACTACTTAAGAGAATACAGTGATATACAATATACAATAAATGTAGTTGGTATGTTTTACAGGGTCCAAACTGATACAATTGTGGCACATGATTCATTCATATGTAGAATTTGTATTAACAGCGTAATGCAATAACAGGGGTATTTATGAATGAAGGCCTGCATATAACACAAGTCTGCCTCAAATAAATGCTGTTATTTATGTGGCTGAGGTACACTATGAGGAAATTTACTAAATTAGCTCATCCTCCCTACGTCTCCAAAGAAAAAGTGAATTGAATTGAAGTCGATTGAAGTTTCCTACAATAAATTTCACTGAATTCTCCATGATACATTTTGCCAACTGGCCACCGGGGAGGTTAGTGGGGGAAAAAAAAAGCGTAAACTTTTTTATAGAATATTCAAAAAAATCATCTTACGCCCCACAGTTTTAGAATCACTGACCTGTACAATGTTCCTGGGAAATTTCAAAAAGATCCACGGAATAAGTTTAGATGGCAGATGGCTGTGTTTTGGATCTGATCAAGTGTACATTTTTAGTTGTGGTTTGACAGCCATTTAATGTTTTTATGAAGAGTTAATGAGACCCATCAATGATCAAATAGGGTAAATTGCATATAAAATAAATGGATCGATCCTATTCACAAAAATAAGCCTCCAGTAATCTCATCCTTTTCTTCGCTGTTACTAAGTGCCATTGCTTCAATGTTGGTGTGATTTTTCTCAGAATTTGATCAAGTCCAGATCATCAACCTTACAACAAAAGATCTGTCAAATACTTTCGGAGTTACCACGCTAACAGGATCAAACATTTGTAACTACCCCCCATTTTTTTAGCCATCACTTACTCAAAATGTAATCAATTCTATTTTTTTGCATTTTATATTGTTTTGCTTCCACTAAGTGGTTCTGTTAATACCTGATGTACTCTCCACTGGGATCTGTTCTTCTTCCAAAGCCTACAGGGCAGTAACAGTGGAAGAACTGCTGGAAGAAGCCACTGCAGGACAGCCACATCCAGCTTCCCGCATTAATACTCCAGTCTGCATCCAGAAGCAGCTCCTCAAATACCTGGGGCAGAAAAAAGCTTCTAGCTCGAGTGCTTGCACATACTGTGTGGAGAATATGTAAAGGGCACTGAGACATTACTACTGATGGACAATGCAACTTACACTAAACTCTTGCAATGATAAACAGGTAACATTTTGAAAACATCAACATTTTCATTAATTTTATTTTGTACTGAGATCAACAAGCAAGTCACTTCTCCTCCAACACTCAAAGTTTCAGAATGTTTGATTCCTATATAAGAAATACCTCTATATTTGAGTATAAAAGTATCTCATGTTCAGGCAAACAACAGAACCACACAACTAGTGGAAAAAACTGTTCTCTTAAAGAAAACAAATCCAGGAGCTGGGTTTCCCATAAACAAAAAAAGAAATATAAAACACTGGGCTGACAAGTAATGCAATTCAGAATTCACCACTGGTATCATACCAATTGTACCTTTTTGTGGAAAATGAGAGATTGGTGGAACTCATAACTATAAATAACCTTGGTTTCCTGTGACATGGGCACATACACTGAGTGGCCTGTTCCTTTAAGCCAGTGTTTCCCAACACAGTCCTCGAGGAACCCTGGACAGTCCACGTTTTTGCTCCCTCTCAGCTCCTAGTACCTGTACCAGGTATTCGGTGTTCCTGATTGGCTGAGAGCTAGGAGGGAGCAAAAACGTGGACTGTCCGGGGTTCCTCGAGGACTGGGTTGGGAAACACTGCTTTAAACAGCGAAGCATTTGGCTACAACTGAATATATAAATGTAAAGCGTGCAGCTAAGAATAAGAATGGCTAAGGCATCTGATCTAAAAGGTACATTAAAGACTGCACCTTCAGGCTGTTTCTGGATTATAGCCTTTATATTTATCCTTGAAATAATGGCCACATGCCAAACAACCTCAGAAGCACCATAAAACTGGTGAAAATAACAGTTTACTTCTGAAAACAGCACCTTGTACTAAACGCATTCTGGTGAAATTCTATAAGTGCATCATCATACCCTTCTCTGGTCCTGACACTGCACCCCAAGAGCAAAATACAACATTTTGCCAAAGCTGCAGAGAAGGTCATCAGCTACCGCTTCCTCTCATTTATGTTTCTGCACATCTCCAGAACAATGAAGATCGTCATCAGACCCTCTGTTCAACAGAGTAACTTTGGGAAACACTACAGACCTATGTAGGCCATAGTCACCTTATATTTACATATTTCTTTCTGGTCAACAAGCAATCTTGGAGAACTTTCTGTGAGCCATTATCCTAAGCCTAACCTTAACCATTAACCTCCAATTACAGATGAGTTGCACTTACAGACTATATGGTCAGATAGATGTTTTCCTGCTTATTATCTACCAACAGACACCCATTAGTGCTTATAAATTTCCCCTGTACCCAATAAAGTAAAGAAGATCCAAGATACTGAACCCCAACACTGACAGACATCCTGAAATAGCTAGCTGAGAGGGATCTCCTCGCATAGTCAGCAGCTACTACTGTTTGCATTATATAATCATGAATCTAATCATCTGAACTTCAGGACAAGCCCCATTCTCAAAAGGTACAACACAGCACTCCTAGGACTTGATCCAGTAACCTTTAGTCTGGGAGACAATACCATTAACCAACAGAACATCGGTGAGAAATTCTCATGGCCGTACTCTCATTCCGCTCTCCCAGCTGAGCCACAGGTCTCCCCGTGTGAGGAAGCAGGCGACGGCATGCCGAGCCAGCGGGTGAATCCAGCCCTCCTGCCGCAGCTGCGTCATGATGGCGTCGATCCAGGGGAAGCCCGTGCGGCCCTCAGCCCACTTAGCGAGGGACTCGGGGTCATGGTCCCATGGTATCTGCACGCAGATGGGGTTCCCCTCCATCCGGTCAAAGTTTTGGTTGTTGGTAGCTGCCGTATAGAAGAATTCCCTCCAAAGCAGCTGACCAAAGAGCGAGAGCGGTGGATTAGGGTGCTTGCGTACCTTGAGGGGAGGGAAAGGAATATTCTGTTAGCATCCCTCTTGGAAACACTCGATGCTGCACTCCACTGGGGGAGGTGAGGCCATTACATATAGTAACATTTGAGAATCTGATCTACATAATGAAAGTCATTATTACCTTCAAATAGAGGTCCCGTAGTTCGTAATAGAACAGTCGAGATGACAAGCAGCCAAACCGTAGGTAAGGACTCAAACCAGTAGGACTGGCGATGAGGGAACAAACATTGATCTGGGGCCTTTCAAAATTTGCCACCCAAGCCTGAACAACCAAAAGGGGGAAAAACAGACTTAATCCATGGATTGAATCAGGTGAAGTGGTGGAATTTAAGTGGTTTTTATTTTGGTAAGTTACACTGGTCCGTTTGTATAAGGTGGTAAGAAGCGTGTTCTCACCAACGCTCCTCAGCCTGCAGGACTGGCTTAATGCACAGCTTGAGAAGCCACTGAGCTGTGCCAAAAACCCCATAAGAGGTGCCTCCCAAGAACTATAGAGGCTCTGACATATATATTTGCATTTTTAACATCATCGGGGCTTCCCAGTTGCCATTTTAATGACAATATTACTTTAAAAAAAAAAATTAAAAAATCAGTTGAAGCTTAATGTGGTTAAAGTAAATAAATATTTTCTGGTGTAATACCCACAATGCAATGCACACAAACAGAGACACACATGGCTATGCACCTTTCTGTCCAAATGCTTTTTAAGCCTGTCCAGAGCTTCCATTTCACCACCCTTCCACACTGCAGGGCTCAGTCTCTGTGTCTTAAACCCTGAAAAACAACAGAGGCAAGTGAATTCTCGTGAGGTTCGTGTTATGGGGTCAAAGGTACCATTGGTAGTGCTTGTAGGTTTAGGGCCAGGGTTTTTTTTTTTTTTTTTTTTTTTTAATGCAAAGTGATACTAGAAAGGGGGGAGGGCTGTTGGAATTCTCTGCCTGTCTGATCTGTACTCCTCACACACTCACCATCCGGTACAATTTCTAGAAATACTAGAACTGGAAATGTGAATTGTTTTTACCTGAATGCTCAGAGTCCTAATTGTGACATGTGACTCCAAAACTACACCTATTCATATATTGCAGGTTCCACCTATGTGCCAATTTGCAGAATATTTCCCCACCAATTAGGTGGTTACGTGTATTTCTATGTGAATGACTTTATGTCCATGTCTTAAAGTGTTACATTATTCTTTTTTTAATATGTCTCTTTATATTCTGTTTATTTCTTATTTGCACTAAGACTAATATTTTCGATGACAATAAGAATTATTACCGATTCACAAGTAGTATATAGGGGGCCCTGGACAGTTTTATTTTAAGCAATGTGTTAAATCGTGCAGTACTGAAATTATGGTCATGTAATCCCTAAAATCTGCAAATAAATTACTTGTTTTGTTTTTGCTTTTAATTTACTATTTTGAGCTCTCAGATTAATTCACTCTTTGTAATAAAACATGTCTCCCAATCCAAATTGGTCTTATTCTGCCTGACCTGGTAATTGTTCAAAGTTTCAACCAGTTCTGTGGCAGAAATGAGGCATTATGGTCATCTAATTCTTCATTGCAAGGAATGAACAACATTTAATAGTCATTCAGTTACCATTTACGTATACGTATATCAGGTAGTTTATGAATTAGGTAGTTGGAATTATTTTAACATTACTGTTCTGCTGTACATTACATTGTAAGACAGACACAACAAAACCAAAAATCTATAGTTCCCTTTACTATCAGAGCTTTCACTCTCATTGTATCCCCTAAATACCAGCTCCTGTCAACTGAAGATTTAAATCGCATCAATTAGCAGCTTTTTCAGAATGTCATTGTTTTTTTCCCAGTGTTGTTGTGTTTGTCTGAATGGAGATGCATACTTTCGCCTATCAAATAATAAGTCCTCACTACTTCGATCTTAAGAAATATGGGAGGTCAATATGGGAGGTCATAATGTATTATTTGCAAGTAATATATTTGTTGGAAATGCATAATGTGTACATGTTTAAGTTAATTTAATTTTTAATCGCATATTAAAATGCGGGTTTTTCCTCACTAACTTGAGAATTTTGAAGAAAAGTTACAACGAAATACTGTAGGCTGTTTTTTCTTGCATGAAGCAACTGACATTACCCAAACTTTTTCGGTATATTAAAATGTCATTTATTGCTCTGATTCGATCAGTTTAACTAATTTTCTCCACATAGGTAGCAAAAAAAAAAAAAAACACACACACACAATACCAGATGAAGTGTTTTTAAAACTTTCAAGTATGTTGCATATAACCTACAACAAACAATCACTATATATGATAAAGTTGTATGCTTTTGTATTGCTCCCCCCCCCCCAATTACTGTGACTCTAGCTCTACAGCCATGGCCAAAAGCTTTGAGAATGACACATATATTAATTTTCACAAAGTCTGCTGCCTCAGTTTTTATGATGGGAATTTTCATATACTCCAGAATGTTATGAAGAGTAATCAAATGAGTTGCAATTAATTGCAAAGTCCCTCTTTGCCATGACAATGAACTTAATCCCAAAAAAAACATTTCCACTGTATTTCAGCCCTGCCACAAAAGGACCTGCTGACATCATTTCAGTGATTCTCTCGTTAAAACAGGAGAGAGTGTTGATGAGGACAAGGCTGGAGATGTCACTCTGTCATGCTGATAGAGTTAGAATAGTAAACTGGGTGCTTTAAAAGGAGGGTGGTGCTTGAAATCATTGTTCTTCCTCGATCTGTTAACCATGGTTACCTGCAAGGAAACATGTGCAGGTATCATTGCTTTGCACAAAAAGGGCTTCACAGGCAAGGATATTGCTGTTAGGAAGATTGCACCTACATCAACAATTTATCGGATCATCAAGGACTTCAAGGAGAGAGGTGCAATTGTTGTGAAGGCATTAGGGCGCCCAAGAAAGTCCAGCAAGAGCCAGGACCGTCTCCTAAAGTTGATTCCGCTGCGTGATTCGGGAACCACCAGTGCAGAGCTTGCTCAGGAATGGCAGCAGGCAGATGTGAGTGCATCTGCATGGACAGTGAGGCGAAGATTTTTGGAGGATGGCCTGGTGTCAAGAAGGACAGCAAAGAAGCCTCTTCTCTCCAAGAAAAACATCAAGGACAGACTGATATTCTGCAAAAGGTACAGGGATTGGACTGCTGAGGACTGGGGTAAAGTCGTTTTCTCTGATCAATCCCCTTTTCGATTGTTTGGGGCATCCAGAAAAAAGATTATCTGGAGAAGAAAAGGTGAGCGCTACCATCAGTCCTGTGCCATGCCAGTAAAGCATCCTGAGACCATTCACATGGGGGGTTGCTTCTTACCCAAGGGAGTGGTCTCACTCACGATTTTGCCTAAGAACACAGCCATGAATAAAGAATGATACCAAAACATCCTCTGAGAGAAACTTCTCTCAACCATCCAAGAACAGTTTGGTGACCAACAATGCCTTTTCCAGCATGATGGAGCACCGTGCCATAAGGCAAAAGTGATAACTAAGTGGCTCAGGGAACAGAACATTGACATTTTGGAAACTCCCCAGTCTTTAACTCCATTCAGAACTTGTGGTCAATCCTCAAAAGGCGGGTGGACAAACAAAAACCCACAAATTCTGACAAATTCCAAGAATTGATTATGTAAGATTGGGCTGCCATCAGTCATGATTCAGCACAGAAGTTGATTGACAGTATGCCAGGGCCAATTGAAGAGGTTTTGGAAAAATAAGGGCCAACGCTGCAAATATTGACTCTGCATAAACTTAATGCAATTGTCAATAAAAGCCTTTTTTCACTTATGAAATGCATGTAATTATACTTCAGTTTACCATGATACATCTTAAAAAAATGATCTACAAACACTGAAGCAACAAAACTTTGAAAACCAATACTTATGTCATTCTCAAGACGTTTGGCCACGACTGCAGATTTGTTAAAATATTTCTGTTGTTTGCTACAAAAAAAGGTAATATGACACTGATTCACTACACCAGAAGCAAAAATTGGCCATTAAAACCAGGGGTCCAAACCACTAGTTCATCTGGACCCAGCTGGTAATGTACCTTATGAATCAAAATGGTTAGCGTAAAAAGGTTTAAAGTGGTTTGAAGTACAAGAATACAATGTAGAACCACCAAAATTTCCGCAAACACATAACTCATCATAATTCCCGCCCCCCATGACAGAAAGTCGAAACAATTAAGACTGTTAAACCAGTCTTTACATTAAGTTCCCATAAATGACAAATATTGTCCAGATTGAAAGTCATTGTTAATTCAGTAAATTTCATGAAATGTTGTTTTGATACAGAAATTGTTCTGGACCTATGACAAAAATCTGATGTGGACCTTAAAACAAAAAGTTTGAGAGTCCCTGGTTTACACAATAAAAGTTGTACAATTAAAGAAAACGAAAGAAAATGTTCCAGTTATGAGTTTGTGAGAATGACCCATTATACCTAATATATAATTATAAAACCCTTTGTCTTAATTCTACATTCATTTAGGGATTGATTGTATAAATATCCATGGCTGTAAGTTTTGATGTAAATTTTAATTATATCATGATTAATAACAAAAAACTGATTAATTAGTTATTTTTCATACAATTCATTATTTACATAAGTATATACACGCACGCACGCACACACACACACACACACACACACACACACACACACACAAAGCCTGCTGCAGAATGTCTAGCACACGTGTTTGTCTCATCTGGCTGCACGTTTTGTAGCATGGTGAGCTCCCACAGACTACCACTAGATGGCAGCACTTTGCGTACCACACGCACAAACACAGGTGACAGAGAAGCTTGGCATCAGAGTGCGAGGTCAAGAAATGTGTCTGTTGCCCCTAGAGCACTTTGTGCGACTTGTCTTAAGGTAATTAGGTTCATCAGATCTGTGCCTGTTCTTTCATGTGTCACCACTGAGGTAGTGAGAATACCTGACGTGTACAGTATGTGAAAGGAGTCAGGCCCTAACCTCTGTGCCTCTCAACTAAAGACCACAGTGAACAGGACATTAAAAACTAATTTAAATTAGCCACAGATATTCACTTCTTATATTAATATATGATCTGAATAGTAGTAGCTCAGCTGGTACTTCAGGTACAAGAAAGTAGTATTGTTAGGTGTGATCATTTTGCAGAGTTTCTATAGGGTGCCAAAAATAAATCAAGGATTGTAGTGGTACTGTGTGCTATAGATAACTCACATGGTGGATAAAGAGATTAACACTGATTCCTCACCTAACTCCTCCAGGGAGGGAACCCCAAACCGCTCGTCATGGTTGACCAACACATCTGTCCAACAGCTGTCCATCTGCTGCCGAGTTACGGTCGGCAGGGGTTTCTTGGGCAGCTCCAGACGGTTAACAATCGCCTGGAACCGTTTGAAGGTGAGGGGAGGGCTGTTGTTGTTCAGTTCAATAATTCTGCACAACAATAAAACAAGAAAACATTTTAATGTTTTAATTGGAAGCAGCCTGTGAAAAGGAAAAATAAGGAGAAATTTCTAATGTAGGTGTTAAGGAAAGTAATACGACGCAAGGAACGACAACAGCTGCTTTTTAATTAGCCTAAAAACATTTGAAAATGGACTCGTGCAACACTGTACTTTGATGCACATTTTTAGATGTAAAATACAATTCATACAATATTTGTAATACTCAATCCAGTTGACAGATAGTACTAAAACCAGTCTCAGGCTATTGCTGTAATTTTACTACAAGTTAGAGGAATGCAGATAAACAAGAAAGCATTTAGAAATTCAGTAGTATATTCTAGAAAATGTAAGGACATGCCTTAAGGACTGCTCCTAATCCTGCCCACAACACAGAGATCAACGGCTGAAGCTTACACAACAGCATCTATAATCAGGGACTGATTTACTCCAACGGTTAGATCATTTCCTGCCAGTTCTCGTCATGTCATGAGGCGGCCATGTGCCTGCTGCAGAATGTCTAAGCACACGTGTCTGTAGTGGTGACTGAGACCATTTCTCCTCCCACCTGGCTGCACATGTTTTGTAGTGTGATGGGCTCCCCCAGACTACCACTAGATGGCAGCACTTTGTGTGGCACATTTTCCAAGACAAGCGAGATTCTGTCCCAGCAGAGTCTGTAACAGGGCTATTTACTTTGGGTCAAACCTAGGAATGCATATTAAGCTCTCACCATATTTATGCACCTCCCAGACTGTGCACATTTCAGACACAGCATGACAAGTTTGCAAGGCACTAAATCCCGAACAATAATTCAAAGCATGACTTGGTAAATACTACCTTATTCTTCCACACAACTTCAAATATGTCACATGAAAAAAAATCCAAAACAACTTATTCAAACTGGGTTCCACTTTAGTGAGTTTTACCACTTTTGATTTTAGGATAATAATTAAATACACTGATTGTCTTGAAACAGTATGCAGAATAACCTGCTGCCAAGTTTTCTGAACACTGTATTCCTATTAGCTCTAGTGTTTAGCTGCATTTTGTCAGTGTGGAGTGGACGACGTTTTGCTTCTAATATTAATGAATGCAAACATGTTTGCTAGTCATTATAATGCTGTTTGATGAACAGTACGATTTATCGAGAACATTAATCATTTCAGCATTTCCTAATGTAATCTGATCACAACAAGCAAGCTAAATTTTATTCAATTGTATGAGATCAAGATCTGACACAGGCAATACATATTTAATCCACAGGGTTTGGATATATTTAGCATTTCTTAGCTGGAAATAGTGTGAAACCTTCTTACTTGTCCAGGTTATACAGTGTATGCGAGTTCCTCACAACAGTCTCTATTCCGAACTCTTTTGCCATTTTAATAATCATAGCATCCCGCTCTTTTCCATATGGTTCAGAGTCATATTCAAAGGTCAGACGGGTGACATTCCACTCCTAAAGATGGATGAGAGAGAGACGTCATACCATAGAGAGGTTACCATGGCACAAAGGGGAAAATGAGGGCACAGCATTGGCTCAATGACAAAGGTAAAGGAGCGAAAGCATGTAAAACATTAGAAAATACCAGTTCTTTCCAGGCCACAGTTAAGACTGAAACTGGGATGCTAGCTCTTGCTAATATACCAAGTGTTTTACCATGTACTTACCAACAAAAAAAGTTTAACGAAACTTCATTTTTTAAATATTTGCTATGTTTCTACAGTGAGTCAATCTAAACCAAATTCATTACAGTAATATTCTATAAGTGTATGAGTGGCATCCTCTACACCACTAGTACATGTGCATATACTTTCAGCAGAACAGTAAGGAAGACTGAAATGTACGCATTAGACAAGCTCCAAAATCCAAGAGCATCATTACACCTGCTAAAACCGAGGTCTGATTTACAGCAATGATTAAATAAACCTCTGGTTTAGTAGTTCAGGAATTCAGTGGTTTTATTTCACTGTATGTGTTTGCTATATCAATAGCACATAGAAATTGTTCAACCGGAAGACTTACAGAACAACACACCTATGAGAAGTTAAAAAAAAAAAAAAAAAAAAAAAAAAAACTACAACTGAAGCTAAATATTCAGCAGATTTTTACTGACCTTGAACAAACGTGGAAATACATCAGCAGGTTGCCCACGAACCACAAAGAGCCTTGAATTCAACTTTCGCAGGCTTGTATCTAAGTCCTCCAGAGATTCAAGTAAAAACCTGCAAGGTGAAAATAGTTTATGCATGTTAATCTGACATTTGCTCATATGGGTGCAGTATGGGTTAACATCTAAAGACAGGAAGAATTAGCCTCATCCAAAACATCTGATTACATCAGATATTAATTAACCCCTATATTATTTTTATTTGGTGAAAATACGAGCTTTTTATCAACAATTGTCTGGACACCAAAACAATTAAGTTGCTCGGTTGAATATTAACGGCTCCAAAAATAATAATATAAAAAATAGATTATACACATTTTAAAAACTTAAAACAAGAGCTAAAGCAGGGTCAGGTGCAACTACTGTACTGTATATGGATAGTAAAATCATGTGAGTGAAACTGAATACTTAAGTTTGATGTAGTTGCATAAAATGCAAGTCACCGGGTGGGCGTGTTCGCTAGGAGGATAACAAGCTAATGAGGTGCAAAACGCAAAAATAATACTACATAACTGATGCAGGACAGAAAGAAAACGAATAATAATAAAATAAAAATAAAATAAATAATAATAATAATAATAATAATAATAATAATAATTAAGTGCAATGAAATAAGACATTCAAGTCCATCAGAAACAAATTTCAGTATTTACTATTTCCTTCAATGTTACAAATTACAATGCAAATTGTCATGAACATTATCAAAATCAATAAGAAAGTAAAGAAATATATGGATCTGCTTAGTTATTAGGTAAATGAGAATGTTCAGCTAAAAACCTTATTCAGGATTGGGACACTGACAGGGCATGTTAGCCAGCCATCGAGCCGACAGAATTTGTAGCAAGAAAGGAACGTGATGGTGGCCAATGCACACGCACACACTGCAGAAGCAAGCACTATGTATCTGAAACGTGATTCACATCACTGACCTGCATCTGTTGATACCAACGTTGGCAGAACCCGCAAACCATGGATCCAGTATATAAACACACCGCACAGTATCTGCACCGTTCAAAGCTTCCTGTAAAGCCGGATTATCGTGAAGCCTCAGCCCTTTCCGGAACCAATGCACAGAATTGACGACCATGATGCCAGTTTTTTTGGACGGGAATGATGCCTTTTATCTTGCGGTAGTTACAGTATAAGCGAAGTCACTCCATGTCACTTCCCAGACCAGCAGACACATCGGCTCCTCCGTACCTGCTCGGATTTTAAGCCTGGCCAGTAAATGGTGAAAATGATTCCGGGACCATCTCCTGCAGCTCCTATTGGCAAATCCGTAACACGTGAAACAGCATTACAATAAGTGCTGCTCGCAGTCGCTCGTGATTGGCTACATGGCACGTGTTGGCCAGTCCCCCAACGTTTCTCGGGTGCGTAGCTAGAATAAATTAGGAATGGAAAATGCATCTTCTAGTCATTTTCACAATAACATCGATCGTCACTTTTAAAGCAAAACGATTATTTTTCATTGTAGTATTTCGGAAATTTATAAATTAATGTGAATGTTCAAAATTCACCATACAACCCAGTACAAAAAATTGGAAACAATCAAATGTTTATTTTTTTATTGCATACAGACTAACCGTGACCTAAGGCATTTAAAGAGTTTATTTTTAAAGAATCTCTACATTATGTTTATACACTCACCTAAAGGATTATTAGGAACACCATACTAATACGGTGTTTGACCCCCTTTCGCCTTCAGAACTGCCTTATTACTACGTGGCATTGATTCAACAAGGTGCTGAAAGCATTCTTTAGAAATGTTGGCCCATATTGATAGGATAGCATCTTGCAGTT